ATACATACCAAGGACGGCAAAACGACAAGTTAGGGACCATTCAATCCGATGTCCAGTTTCTGACGTGTTTTCCGCAAGCTCTGATTCTTCAAGCCGACATCCTCTACATGCGCTTTTATGTCCGGCCACCTTTTGTCGAATGGGGTCGTCTTCTGGTAGGATCGACTTTTGCATCTCTTCACCAAATACTTTCACTGAAACGACAGCTTCCTTGAAATCCAACTTTTCTTCACGTTGCTCTATTTTTTTTATCTGCTAACACTCTACCTGCTCTCTCTCTCTTTCTCTCCCTCACCCATGTTGCCCTGTTCTACCATTTAGTGAGAGTCATGCCCGGTTCTACGCCAGCCAAGTTGTGCTAGCCTTTGAGTACCTGCACCACTTGGAGTTGGTCTATCGGGATCTGAAGCCGGAGAACATTCTGATCGACCAGCACGGTTACTTGAAGGTGAGTTCAGATGTGCACAGCACACTTACATTTGTGAGGCCTCTTCTAACCTCTCGTCTGTCCACCTCCGTTGGAACATTTGGTTGAGAGGAGGATGGGAGAAAGTGTCCTCTTTCTCACCGCCTTCACCCCCTCCCCCCGGCAAATCAGCCTATAAGGGCCTCCCCCGAGGGATCGTGGTAACCGGGCAAAAGCATGTGATCGAGTTGTAGACAGAAAGTCACATCCTCTTCACATCTCATTTGCTCATTAGTTTTATTGCCATCTTTACTTTAATTTTGCATCAAAATGTCTGCTGAAGAGATCCTCACGTCTGTCTCACCCAAAGACGATGACGGATTCCTGTAGCTCTGCAATCCCTTGGCTCTGGTGAGACATTCAGATTGACGCAGTCCACGAGGCATCTTCCGTCATTTCGAGCGAAAACGGACCGAGCTTTCGTTCGTCATGTCACCAACAGCATCAGAGCTGGGACTCATTCTTGCAAAAATATCATGTTCAAGCGAAGTCAAGAAGACTGATCGGTTCTTTACCACTTGATGCATATACTCATGACGAAAAAATATTTAAAGATATAAATTTCGATAGAAAGGTTTAGTAAATTATCCTATATTCGAGTGTGTGTAGTTGTGTTAACCGCTGTACGCAAACTAGGCTATAACTGAGAATAATTAGAAAAAGGCCTAGCCTCAGACCTGGAAATCAGCAGTCGGCTTCTGGTAAGATCGACCTGCAAATCTCTTCCTCATCCACTTTCATACAAAATCGCGGTCTTAAGTAACCACCAAGTCAAAAAGACTCTCAAGACTGGTATTGCGTAGAGATGTTAAACACACATGATTAACATGAAAAAGAGCTAACCAAATCATTCTATATCTATCTATATCTGTGTATAATCTTTTTAGTCATGAGCACATACAGAAGGTAGCATAGAAACCGGGCAGTCCTATTGACTTAGTGTTTGTTAACTTAAAACATTTACTAGAATGATGTCAAGCGGTGATGATGTACATCAGATGACGAACGAAAACTCAGTCGGTTTTGGCGCAAAACGAGAGGAGATGTGCTGAGGATTGCATCATCCTAAAGGTAGTATAAAAAGCTAAACGGTTGCAATGCAGTTTTCTGGGTAGATCGACCACCAATTCTCTTCATGTGACACACCTTCATGCGATATGAAATCCTCCTCAACAATGTTATCGCAAGAGATTGATTGAAACCGGATTTTTCGTCATTAGCTTCAGTTTAAGGCTTTTTTGCTTGCCTTTTTTGGTTCTCAAATTGTGACTTTACCCAAATCGCACAGAGAGTCCATGTGTGTCTGTTCTTTGGTAGGCATTGTTGTTTGTCTGCTGTCAGTGTGTACACAAGAGATTAGAAGACGATCTGATCTAACTTGATCTTATCCTATTACTTCCATCTCATCTCATCACATCTCATATCATCTCATCTCACCTAATCTCATCTCAACTCCTCTCATCTTAACTCCTCTCATCTCAACTGATCTGATCTGATCTAATTTGATCTTGTCTTATTACTTTTCATCTCATCTCATCTCATCTCATCTCATCTCATCTCATCTCATCTCATCTCATCTTATCTCATCT